GGGGCAGCGGCGGGGACAGCGGGGACACTGGGACATTTGTGGGGACAATGGGGACAATAGGATAGCGGTAGGGGCAGTGGGGACACTGGGGAGAGGGGGACAGTGGTTGGGGGCCCTGGTGGGGACAGCGGGGACGTTGGTGGGAACACTGGGAACAATGCGGCAATGGTGGGGACAGCGGGATGGGGACGGTGGTGGTGGATAGTGGCGTGGGGACAGCGGGGACAGTAGTAGGGACAGTGGGGACACTGGGAGAGTGGTGGGGACGGTGGTGGTGGGGACCGTGGTGAGGGAGGTGGTGTGGTGAGGACGGTGGTGGGACAATCGTTTTACCAATTTGTTCCCAAATATCCACGGAACATGCGACGGGTCTGCGATCATCTTCATCACCGCCCCCTCCCCCATTGCCACCGCCACCGGGAGGCCCTCATCCACCACCGCGTGTCCCTCCGGCTGAGCCGTCGGCAGGAGGACGTGGCGGGCCGGGCAGCTCCTCCGTGACGATGGGAGCTTTGGGGGAAGATTTTCTGGTGGCTTGAGAAATTCGGGAAAAAGGCGACACCTCTCGAAATGATTGTTCAGTGCGCGCCAGCAATTTCTGGTCCTATCCTCGACTCTCCCTCGGCCGCCCTGCAGCCGTAAGCGCAAGGGTATGTAGCTGCTTGCAGGCATCCGTCCTGGAACGTCAGGCGCCGCAACATATTCGAATTGCTAGCCCTACCGACTTTTCCGGACCAGCTGCGTCGTGCACGGCTCTTGATTTGCTCGCAGCTGGGACCTCTGGAGACGCATGCAAACGGGACATGCAAAATGCTACGAAGGCACCTGACTTGAAAACAAATTATATGTCGACGTTCTTCCTTGTTAAACCAAGCCGAACTCAGAGCATGCATGACCTTGCTCGTGACAAGAGATTCAAAAGCTTGAAGCTTACGGCCTGCCGCAATAGCTGTGTGTTGCCACGCGCGCGTGCATCTGCAAAACTCATCCCAAACTGCACCCAATAATTTGCTTAATTGTCCGGACAGCCGGCCTGAGCTCGAGATTGTTGCCCCAAAATACATAATTGAATAATTTCCTTAAAGTGGTTCGCCCTGTGGTGTCGCAAAGCTCATGTCGCAGCACACAAGCGCGATGGCGGCAATTATGTTCCTTCAAGTCCAGGCTTTCGGAACAAAACCAACTGAGGTTGCAACATTGACACATGTGCGAGCACCACCCTGCACACACTGGTCACCGTCACTGGTCGTTGACACGATCCCTCCCCTTTGTGTGCCTTCCCCGGATATCTATTCTCTGCTGATGGGTAACACCCTTGCCCTTTGGCCCAACTGACGATTTGTATTGAGACGCCCGCGAAAGAGGATCTAGAAGACCTGAATACGCTTCTTGATATAGTGCGCAATATGGATGCCCAGTATGAGCTTGACACAAATATTCTGCCACCGCTGCGCGGGTACGGGTTTGGAATTGGAAAAGATCCTGGATGATGATCCTCAACTGGGCATCGTTGTTCGTCGACCGTGCCTCCTGCCATGCCGAAGATTGGGACTGGGGAATCCTGGCCCAGGCTGACATTTCCAAGAGCCTTATGGCGTTTCGTTCCTGGTGCCCTTCCCGTGTTGTTTCTTACGTGATCTGCTTGAGACACTAATGGAATCGTCTTGCTTTTGATGATTGAAATATCGGACTCTAAATTCCCATCCTCCAGGATAGCGGAAATTCGCGGGCCAATTCGTCCCTTTTCTCTGTCGGCTGAACCAAAACTAATTCGCCGCGTGCCTGTGGAACGAATGGGTCATCGATCGACAAAAACAAAATGCTCAGAGAGCAACGCCACAGCAAACCACACACAAACAAACGCAACTACCCGGATTACACTCAGCAAGCTCATATCGAAACAACTCCGACTCATCAAACGTATACGCGAACACGCCAAATTGCAATCGATCGTTTGTCAATTCAGGAATTTGAAACAAATCGCCGGTGTGAAATCATCCAAACGCAAAAAAATGATTGCATCGATGACGACAGCGACCGGCACAGAAGCCACCGACAGACAGAGCATCGCGGACATCTTTGCCACGTTCTACGAGCAGCTGTACAAAGACCCAAACAGCAGCAGAGTCGACAACGAGACAACCGCAGCGACTTCCCAAACACCACCGTTCACAGCTGAAAAGTTTCGCCATGCCATTAAACAGTTAATGACCGGCACATGCAGCGACGACACGGGAATCACAGCTGAGCTTTTGAAGGCAGGCGGAAAGGTTGCGGAAGGACATTTACTCTAACTCTATAGCGACATCATCAAACCAGACCACCCACCACCAGAGCAAGGGAAGAAGACAACGATTACGGTGATTACAAGTCCGGCGACCCAAAGTTACCACAAAACCTCTGCAATCGACTTGAATATGCTTTTGATTTGCAGCAAAGCGTCGATCAGGCTGGGGTCACAAGAGGCTTCAGCACCGAGGACCACCTCTTCACCACGACAATGCTACACGAGAAATCGTTCGCATGGCAGTTACCCCTGTGGGCAGCAGCAATCGACCTCGAGAAAACATTTGATTGCGTCGACCACGACGAACTTTGGAAAACTCTGCGACAACAACACATACCAAACAACTACATATAATTCTTACAACACCTGTACGATGACCAGACGGCCATTGTACGAACCGATACCAATAGCAGATGTTGTTCTATCCAATGGTGGGTGAAGCAAGGCGACCCGCTCAGCTCGTTCTTGTTCAAATGCACTCTTGGAACACCTCTTCCGGCAGCTCAAGCCAAGCTGGCACTGCAGGAGGTTTGGCATCAAGCTGGGCTCTTCACCAGGGAAGAGCATCACCAACTTGCGCTTCGCAGACCACATCCTTCTATACGCCCCAAACTTGAGACAGCTCACATTTCTACTGCGAAACTTGTGGAAGGAGGCGTCCAACTGTGGGCTTACACTGCACCCATACAAAACCAAAATACTTACGAACATAAGCCGGAAGATGGGATGAACAATTGCACACATCATGTTGGACGGTGCGCAGATCGACATACTACCAAACGACCAGATTACAAAGTATCTGGGAAGAAAATTCACGTTTCACGAGTTCAACGACACAGAGTTACGGAACAGGCTCGCCAACGGATGGGCGAAGTCCAACCAATTGCGACACGAACTCACAAGCAAACGGTTTCCATTACACAGCAGATTGAAGCTCTTCAATGGCGCCATCACACCTTGTGTCATGTACGCATCCTCATCTTGGACCCTGACAAAATACATGCTTATCACTTTGCGACGGACACAGAGGAAAATGCTGAGACTCATAATTGGGGCGCCGAAGAGACGAACCTCGACTGAGCAAAGCAGACACACAAATGATGCCGGCAGCAGCATCACCAACACAACCGAGAGCAACAACACCGACACCAGCGCTGGCACCAGCACCGACGTCTGCACCAGGCAACGCAGCCAAAACCACAGCGAAGATAACGACGACGACGACGACGACGGCATGGAATCGTGGATCACTTCCTACGAAGAAGTACATCCACCGCTGTGGCGCTTGCGAAGCGTGCACAGGTCGATGAATAGACAAATGTATATTTCAGGCGCAAGTGGTAGCTTGCAACACGAATCGCCAACCACGACATTGAGAGATGGAATTGTCCGAGTGCGACCTGGGACCCCAGCGTACACGACTCACGACCAGCTTTTCGCAGACACGGAGGGCAACGAAAAAAGTATTGGGAAGACGACGTCGTATCTTATTCACGTAGCGCTCATAGTAACGACGGCGAAACACAGTGGTGGGACTTGGCACGTAATCAGACATGGTGGGACTATCATGGACAAATTGTCTTACAGCACATGCGTCGTTATATGGACTCGGACACTTTCGTCCACACAGACGGGTGACGATTCCTACCAACAGATAGCCGTTTTTGTTTGTTCACATGTACGTGCCGATGTGTTGCGACGACCAGTTCATCATCATCACGTTCTCTGGCTTCGTCTTCTTCGGCTCCAACTCCAGCTCCGTCGTGCAGAAGGTCCACAACACGCTGGACACGAATGCCGGCCCACAAATACCTACCTCCACCCTTCGATTATGCATTCCCGCCCCCATCCGCTCATGACGTCCACTCCCACCTCCACCGATCGACCTCTGACCTCCACTTGCTCAGCGCTCCGACCTCCAGCATCAAGCATTTCACTCTTCACTACTACCTCCTCGCATCGCGCGCCAGACCCCGCAAGCTCAGCCCCCCGACCTCCAGCCTCCAACCTCCGACTTTCCACCTCCACATCCACCTATCGACCGTCTGTCTCTGACAGCTCCACATTCCGACCTCCATCACCCAGCATCCGACTTCCACTCGCACCTACACCTATCGACCTCCAGCCTCCACCAAATCGGCACTCCGGCCTCCACCGTCGGACAACCGACTCTGCAGTCCTAAATCCATTTATCGACCTTCAGGCTCCGCCAGCTCAACACAGTGACTTCAAGCCTCCAGCATCCGACTTTCCACCTCCACCTCCACCTATCGACCTCCAGCGTCCACCACCTCAGCACTCCGACCTCCAGCATCCATCATCCGACTTTCCACCTCCACCTCCACCCATCGACCTCCAGCGTCCACAAGCTTAACACTCCGACCTCTGGCCTCCAGCATCCGACTTTCCACCTCCACCTCCACCAATCGACCTCCAGCGTCCACCATCTCAGCACTCCGGGCTCCAGCCACCAGCATCCGATCGACCTCCGGCCACCAGCATCTCAACACTCCGACCTCCAACCTTCAGCATCCGACTCTCCATCGCCGCCTCCACCTATCGACCTCCAGCATCCGACTTTCCACTTCCACGCCAATCTATCCGACCTATCACTCTCACCTCCACCCATTGGACTCCAGAATACACCAGCCGTCCGAAAATTCTACGTTTCACACCACTTTCATCCAGATCGACCACCAGTCCCAGGCCGACTACTGAGGGCTCTGGCCCCCCCGCGCCGCCCTCCTAGGGCCGGTCCCGCTGGACCGTCATCGCGCGCTCCCTCCTCCTCCTCCTCCTCTTCCTTCTCCTCCTCCTCCTCCTCCTCCTCCTCCTCCTCCTCCTCCTCCCCCCTCGCCGCCCGATGCTGCCTGGTGGAGGCGGCCGGGCGGTCTGCGCAGCATGGGCCCCGGGAATAGTCAAGAGGGGGGGACGAGGGCAAATCCACTCAAAGTCGCTTCCTAAACCCCTCCCAGTGTCGAGACTTTCCACTCTTTCTACCAGCGTCCAGCCGTGGCGATGAGGGGGCCCCTCTGTCCCCCCTTCTCCCCTGGTCGGGACCAGTGCTGGGCCACCTCAGACCCTCAGCTAGCTCCAAACCTCACCCCCCCTACTCCCGATGCAGCCTGCTCGACGTCGAGATCTGGTCGTCGCCCCAGATCGCCACCATCTCGCCGCTGCACGCCTCGAGCTGGCTGGCGATGAGTACGTTCGCCTTGGACCTCGGCGGGATTCGTCTCTCATCCGATCCTGGTCTGACTTGCCCCCGACGTGCGCGCCTCACCACCCGAACCTTCCTCCTGTCTTTTTCCGTCTCGCAACTCTCTCCTCCGCCTCCTCCTTATCCTCCTCCTCCTCCTTGTCCTCCTCCGGCCTCCTCCTCCTCCTCCTCCTCCTCCTCTTCCTCCTCCTATGTATCCTGCCCCCTCCTCCTTCTGCCAGGAGGCGGTCCCCTTCCCCAGTGGGTCGCTGGGCGCGCATTCCCCCGTTCAGGCCAGGTGTCTCTCCCTGGGTTCCCTGATATCTTGGGGGTCGTGCTGGGTGGTCCGTCTTCCAGTCGTCGTCGTGTCGTGGTGGGCCCTTGGGAGAGGGGGGGCGTGGGTCTGGCGGTGGTCTGGCTCCAACCCGTTCTGTCAGGTTGCCCGTGCTTGGGCTGCGGCTGTTTCCGGCCTGGCAGAACAGGGCAGGGGAGCTGCCTTACCGTCCCCACGCTGCCCGCTCGTAGGGGCCCGCTCTTACACGCAGGTGAGGCGGGCGCGAGCGCCCGGTGGCGACGCGCGGGCCTAACTCTTGGCCACTTGGTTTGGCCCTCACGGGAGCGCTGACAAGACTCCTCCTCCTCCTCCTCCTCCTCCTCCTCCTCGTCATCAGCTACCGTGCTGGCACCACTGCTTGAAACAAGGCGGGCAGTGGCAGCACGGGTGTGCTGCGAAAAGGCGGTCGCAGAAGGGGGTAATCAACCAAAGCAGGAATCTGCTCTTGCGAGAAGGCGCGCAGCGGCAACATCTGGCACTGTGTGCGCGAAGGGCGAGTAGCGGCAGCGGGAGCTGCCGCTACTCATCGAGAGGTGGGAGGCGAAACTTCTGCCCGATGCCGTCGCTTACATGGCAGGGAGAAGCGGGTGCCAGAAGGGCGCGGCCCTGGCGGGCACCCTGGCCTGCCCCAGCCCGCCCCCCGGCGAGCCCCGACGGGCCCAACACGGCTCCAAGGGGGCCCCGTAAGGCCCAAGACGGCTGAAGGCAGCCCCGAGACGGCTTCAACAGGCTCAGGAGGGCCCCAAGACTGCCCAAGAGATCTCCAAGAGGCGCCCCAAGAGGGCGCCGAGAGAACCAAATCATTGATTGTCCTCAAACTTTTTGATGATTTTGACGTTCTCGCATCGTCCAAACAAGGCCTCACTGATCTCCAAGAGGGACCCCGGAAGGCCCAAGAGGTCGCGAGCATAGCCTCCAGATGGCCCAACAGGGCTCCAACACGGCCCAGGAAGGCTCCCAGAGGCGCCCCAAGAGAGGGCGCCGAGAAGGCCAAACCATACAGTTCTTCAGGTGTTTCACTAATTGTTTAAGGTTCTCGCTTTCTGGGCTTCCCATGCTCCTGGACGGCCTAGGAAGCTCCCAAGTTCATCCCAACACGGCCCCGCAGACATCCAGCAGGGCCCGCAGACAGCCCAAGAGGAGCTCAAAACCGCCCAAGCGGCCCCCACGGCGAGCCCAGGTTCCAAGATGTGCCCCAAGAGGGCGCCGAAAGGCCAAAGTCCGCCGACCCCTTGGGGCTCATCGGCGTGTGAGATGCTTACCCTTCCTCAAACCCCCCCCCCAGGAGTCCGGTCCGGTCGATTTGGAGTCGGGGGGGGCCCCGGGGACCAGCCGAACGCGTCCGCGGGGGGGGGGCAGAGGACCCCAAAACAGGCCAAGAGGGACCTAGGAAGCCCTCTGGACTGGCCAAGAGGGCCACGAGCCGCCGAAAGATCGATCCAAAGCGCTTACGCTGGCCTCCAGACGGCCCACGAGGCCTCCAAGACGCTCCGAGAAGCTCCCAAGAGGCGTCCCAAGACGGCCTCCAAGAGCAAAAATCATCCCATTGCCGAAGGGAAACGTGCATGTTTCACACATTCGCCTCTTGTGCGTTCACAACGTCCAAGGCGGCCCTCCTCGATCGCCCCAAGACGCCCAAGAGGCATCAAAGATGGCTCTCAAACGACCCAAGATGGCCCCAAGACCGCTCAAGTCACCTCCGAGACGACCCAGGGGGGCCCCAGGACAGCCCCAAGAAGGGACCCAGAGGGGGAACTCCCAACGGTCATTTCGAGCCTTCGGCCCCGAGATGCTCCCCGATTGCCCCAAGAAGCCCCCAACAGGCTCCCCAGGGAGCTCTGAGAGGCCCCCGAAAAGCCACCAAGAAGCTCCAAGGAGGCCCCCAACAGGTTCAAAAACTGCCTCCCAAACGCCCCCGAGACACCGACCACGAGACCCCATCTGCCATCCGCGTGGCCTCCGACCCGCAGCCCAGGCACGGTGGCGGGATGTGCCGAAGAACATTCGAAAATTGAAAGAACTCCTGGAAGCCCCCCAAAGGCGCCCAAGAGACTCTCAGGAGCAGCACACAACAATCGCCAGTCCCCCAAGGTGTCGTCGGTGTGTCGTAAGCCTAAGAATCACTGATTGTCCTAAAGATTCTCGCTCATGTTGACGTTCTCGCATGTCCAGGCATGCCACGCACCGAGATAGGTCAGGAGGCCCCCAGTCCCAAAAAGGCCCCGCAGGCCTCCAAGAGAGCCCCCAGACGGCACAAGGGGGCCCCAAGACCGCCCAGGCTGAATCCAAGAGCGCCCGAGAGGGTCACCCGCGCCCTCCGTCCCAAGATGACCCCTGAGACCGACAGCAGGCCTCCACGAGGTCCCCCAGGCCGCCAGCAGGCCCCGAAGGGGCTCCCCAGAAGTCACAGGAGGCCCCAAAGAGGCCCAAGTCAGGCCCCAAGAGGACTCCGCGAGCCTTGTCGGAGAGCTTCTGTGGACGGAGTCCACGGGTTAGCTCCATTCAGCTACAGTGCTGGGATCAAGGCGTGCGGAATGCGAACAACAGCAGGCGGCTCCGGCACTTCTCTGCGAGAAACGGGGGACAAAACTGGAGCCCGAGCTTGTTAGACACAGCGCTGGGCACATCGTGTGCGAGAAGGGCTAGCAGCGGCAGCAGGCTCTGCCGCTACTAAACGAGAGGTGGAAGGCGAAGCTAGAGCCCGATGCCATCAGCCACAGCACTGGGATCAGGGCGTGCGAGAAGGGCGAACAGCAGGTAGCTCGATGCGAAGCTGGAGCCCGATTTCGGCAACTTCAACGCTGGGAAAGCCGAAGACGTGCGAGCAGACATCAAAAGCACCAACGCTGGGACTTGTTCATGCGACAAAGGGCGAGCCGACATCATCAGCCACAATTCCGAGATCATGTCGGGCGGGAGCGTCTGAAGCGACATAATCAGCACCACCGCTGGAAAGAGTTCGTTTCAGAATGGGTGTGCAGACATCATCAGATACAATGCTGGGAGCAGACTGTGCGAGAATGCCAAGGCGCGTGAGAATGGCAGGCAGTGATGGCATGAGTAGAGGAATGCGAGCCCAACGTCATCAGCTACAGCGCTGGGCCCATCACCGAAGCCAGTGGATGGCAGTGACAGCAGACGCGATCAGCACAGCGTTGGAACCAGCTTGTGCGGAGTAGGCCCCATAATGCGCGCGCAACAGTCCGAGAGCACGGGCAGGCAATGGCAGCAGCAGTGCCAGTGCGAGAAGGCAGCAAGGCGGCTGCAGCGGGCTGCAGTGCCAGAAGCCGTACATCATCAGCTACAGCTGGGATCAGCGCGTGGGGGCGGTGCAGCAGCGCGCGTGCGAAATGGCAAGGGGCGCTGGAAAATGGGCAGACTGGCGCGGAGAGCTGGGGCACACGTCATCGGCTCTCATCTTGCTCCTCTGAGCTACGGTGCTCGATCGGCTCCCGTGCGAGAACTGAGGTTGGCCGCGTTCTGTCGGCCCTGGGACGACCTGGGTGGCAAGGCATGGCCGCAAGGCCATCGGGATGTGCTTGCATGCCTCCTGGTTTGATCGCGGTACTCCAGCGGGACTCCAGCAATCCTCCCCCAAATCCTCCTCCATCTCCTCCTCCTCCTCCTCCACCTCCTCCTCCTCCTCCTGCTCCTCCTGCTCCTCCTGCTCCTCCTCCTCCTCCTCCTCCTCCTCCTCCTTCTCTTGCCTCCTCCCCTTCCTCCTCCTCCTCCTCCTCCTCCTCCTCCTCCTCCTCCTCCTCCTCCTCCTCATCCTTTTCCTCGCCCTCCTTCCCCTCCCTTCCTCCTCCTCCTCCTCCTTCTGCCTTTCTTTCTGCTTCCGCCCTCGTCCCTGCCCGCCCCGCCTCCGTTTCTGTCCCGCCCCCGTCCTCAGACCTCCGACGTCAACCTCTTGATCTTGTGGGGCCCCTGGGCCACAACTCTGCAAGAACTGGCCCTTTTCACCCCATCCGTCTTGGCTGACGGCGCCGGAGCCCGAAGACAACTCACCAGGACACACATCGCCTCCATTCTGGGGAAAACCCAACCAATATACTGATACCGCTATTCCCCAGACCTCTCCCTGCTCAAGGGGCCCAGGGACACACAAATAAATACACACAAAGAACAGAACCCCCCATATTTTTCAATATTTTCTAGGTTTTCGTCTTCCCCCCCACATCCCATATTTTTCCGTATTTTCCTGGGAGTCGACGATGAATTGCGTCTGTGTATTTGTTGCCCTCCCGACCTGGGTGCGCTCTTACCAAAATTTCGACGCGAGCCCAGCCGTGGCGACGAGGGCCTCCCGGGCAGCCCAAGCAGGTGAGAACGGGGCAAGTCTGGCGGCATCGGCATCTTTCCTCCTCTGAGCAGCGTCCTCGTCAAGACAGAGGAGGCCTGGGTCTCTGCCCCCGTCCGTCGGAGCAGGGGTGGGGCAGAGGGGACAGGCCTTCTCAGAGGCTCACAATGCATCGACCCTTCTGCGAAGCTTGCTAGACCTTCTCCGAGGACCTCCGAGGGCGTCTCGGGAGGACGGAGGGCCTCGCAGAAGCCCCGCCGCCTTCTGACAAGGTCTGCCCCCTCTCACTTCCCCATCGGTGTACCGCCAGGTTGGAGGCCGGGTTGTTCGCTTTCCATCTGATTCGTAGGATTCATATTCTTGTGCTCCTTCTTATGACAACTCCCTCCTATGTTTTTTTTTTCTGACTCGGGGAATTGTGATTATTGATATCATATCTGTTCCTCGTCATTTTCGCATTCGTATTACGTTCGTTATTCCCTGCGGCGCGCTCTGGGCCCTGGGCGCATCCGTGAGCTCGCGCAGCAGGGGCCGGAAAGCCTGGGGTGCCGCGCGTATGCCGGCCGCGCGCCAGGTCTAGGAGAGGGGGGCCGAAAGAAGAACCACCATGAGGGGCGGACGTATCTGATGAGGGGAAAAGAGGAACAACAAGCTGCATAAACATAAACTGTCGAAGCTCCGCAAGAGCGGGAGTGCCGGAGGGGGGCATGCGGCTGCGTACGAGCAGCGGGATACCAACGTAAGGTGGAACGCCATATAGAAGCCGATGAACAATAGGATGTCTGGGGACAGAAGATGGCGTCAAATAGGCTCGGGAACTGAGCCAGACTTGGAACGGAAGCCCTTGGTGCCAGATGGCTGGAAGGCTGGGTACACACCTTGAAAACGAACGACTCTGGCAAGATTTCGGATAAGATGGGCCAACCTTGTAAAGGAACTCTTGAAGTAGCCTTGGGCGAACTTGAAACGGATGTCCTTAGCACCAGACAAGAGATGGTGAATGGCAACTTGAGACACAATGTACGTCGGACTCACGTCGGAAGTACGTCTTGTTCCCGTCGGAGTACGTCGGATTCACGTCGGATTCACGTCAGACTATGAGCGACGCCGCGCGAACGTCACCCTAGATCTTTCGGAGCGGATGAGTGGACTAGACGATGCAACTATTGCGCTCCGCGCGGGTCCTCCAGGATCGTCTTCATAGCGCATCCGTATCCACCCCTTCGCGGCTTGGAATCGGGGGCGCGATTTCGTGGATGCGCGGTCGCACGGGTTCGCTCCGCGCGGGGGGGGGGGCAAAACAAACGCCAAGTACCCACAGGGTCGCGGCCCAGAAGAGCAACCAGACGTTAGGAAACAAGTCCTAGGTTTTCGAACTACGCTACAGAAGGGCTAGTAAGCCCGATTGAGGAAACATTCGGCCAAGCTAACCGCAAATCAAACTCGGGATTACGCCGGATTAGGCGGAAATAGACGGAGTCAAGCGGGACTGCGGTGGATTGAGCCGCTTTTCGGCTACGGATTTCCCAGCGCCGATGCTGAATGTAACCTCCGTTAAATCCGAGCAGACGGATCAACTCCCAAAGGGGCTAGAGTCAACGCATCGTCAAGGACTCACGGATTTCTGCTGCTCGCTCGACTCGAGCAAAATCGTCCACGGTCTAATCTGCTCAACTGTCTATGATATTCCGACGTATGTCATTATTCCGAGGCCGGGTGTGAGGCTCTCCAAATCTGGAATCGGTGACTCGTGATCTGGTCTCCCGTATGGTCTTCAGTACGGAAACATGGTCTGCTGGCTCCCGTAGTATGGTCTCCCGTACGGCCTACCCCATGGTCTCACTTATTGTTTTCCGTATGGCCCCGTGTACTACTCGTCACTGCAGTGTTCTCTATACTGTAATGTACCAGTTTTGTCCGCATATATCTCTGGAGCTACCTCGTCTTACCTGCACTCACAACCAATAGCCCAGATTTGGCCACTTGTGCTCCAGATGGGATAATCGGCGGTGAGGGGGTGACTAACCTTGCGACGGAGCTTCCCGATCCCCACCCCGTAGCCCCTTAACACGACCCCCCCCCGACCCACTTCCGACAGCACGCGCCCACTCCCCCCCTCAACCCTTGCAAGGTGCGGTTATTATCCCACTCGGAAAATCCAACTTGATCACCGCAAATCGATTAGAGAGGAGTCGTCAAGCCTCCCGGGAACACGGACCACCCCAGGGCGGAACACCTTTGAAATGGCCGATACGTGGCCAGCTTCGGGCGACCTGCAACGCTGAGGGGTCTCCTCCTCCTCCTTGAACTGGCCCCCCGGCAGGGCCAGAAGAGGGGCGGGGCTCAGAAGCAACTAGGCAGACCGCCTTCAGGTCGGACGAACGGAGGGTTAGTAAAGGGTGTTACGGTGAGGGCAATGGATAAGGAACCCATATGTAAGGCATCCATGGTCTGAAAGCCGGTGGAACACTAATTGAGGCTTGGCCATGGGTATCACCGCCGCCCTCATTAGATAAGGAATCCATCAGGGTCTGAACCCTCCTGGGCACATTCCTTATCGAACGCCCCCACCGCGATCCCACCGTGAGGAATCCGCTCACATAGCAAGCTTTCGCGGCCCCTCCGGGCGCCACCCGGCGCCAATGATATCATCGAGGAACGCGCTTGGACGGCGGGGCCAAGACCAGCTGCGTGAAGCAGATTTCGTGTCCCCCCTTTCCCTTTCTAGAGTCCTCCCAGGTGGGGGGGTCGTAAGGGGTTGGAGGAGCGCGCCGCATCGTCGATGCATCACCGATGCATCGGCAATGCATCTGCGACGTCGGCGATGCATCGGCGGCGTCGGCGTGGAGGAAATCAGGCTGCACATCGAGCCGCATCGCCGATGCATCGGCGATGCGGCGAATTTCTCTGACCCCATCAACAGACTTTCGTCCGCCCCGACATCTCCAGCAGGAGGGGGGGACTCCATCAAAATGGCGAAAGCCTGACCGGCTTACCGATTCTCGAAAACAGTGTGCGTGTGTGCACTAAATGGACCTTCAACGCTTCTCCTCTTCTTCTTCTTCTTCTTCTTCTCCTCGTCGGGGAGGAGGGGAACACGGGTTTGTCTTTTGTCTCCCCATCGTGTCTTTTTTGTTTTCCCTCAAGGTGTCGTCGGGGGGGTCTGGGAGTCTATTCTTTCCTTCCCGGGGGGGGGCGGGGGGGGGCAGGGGCTCGAGTCTGTTTGTGTCTCCCTCAGGTTGGTTGTGTTTCCCGTCGATTTTTTTTGTTTTGTTTTCCTTTTTTCCCCCTTCGGGGGGGGGCTGGGGGAGGGCCCGGAGGTCTCCAAGCTGTTTTTTGTTTCCCTCGGAGGCAATGTTTTCCCCTCGAGTATTTGTTGTGTTCCCTCGCGGGGGTGGGGGGGCGGGGGCGAATCTCGCCGAGGGGGGTTCCAGCTAGGGCCCTCCCGGGGGGGGGGGGGGGGGCGGGCAGGCGCCCGAGCGTGCCGTCTCGCTTCCAGCGCGTTGTTGTGTTGCCAGCGCACGAGCATGATGGTGTTGATGGCGATGATGAAGATGATTTTGATGATGATGATGCTGCTGATGATGGTGCTGCTGATGATGATGAGGACGGCGATGATGGTGATGACGATGATGGTGATGCTTATTCCGGCGGTGATAATCATAATGTAAACCATGATGATGAAAATGGTGATGATGATGATGAGGATGATGATGCTGATGATGATGGCGGTGCTGATGGTGGGGGTGATGATTATGTTGTTGGTGATGATGGTGGCGATAATGATGGTGATGACGACTACGAAGACGACGACGATGATGAAGACAGGACAGGACATCCACATAAAAGGCGTCAACGTCAACACACCTAGTCTGGTGCCTTGCACGATGATGAGGCGGAGGAGGAGAAGGAACTGCATCAGTGCCAGTAGCAGTATCAGCAAGACTAACAGGCAACAGGGACAGACGCGGTAGCCTGAGCATCGGCAGGAGCCAGGAGCCATGAACAGGGAACACGGGCTGGGAGCTAGGGAATGGGAGCTAACATGAGGATGGAGGGAAATAGAAGACGACAGAGAAGAGAGAGGAGGTGGGGAAGGAGGGTGAGGAGAATCAGAGTAAACCTAGGGAGCATCAACGATTCTGAGATACACTCTCCCGTCCCAAGACCCCCTCCGCAGAATCCCCATACAAACGTTCTTTTTGCATTGCGGAAAACGCTTCCTTGAAAGGTAGCGCCCCATCGGCCTGCCATTCAATCCAAAACATCGTCTTGGAACGATTCGCCCTCCATCCGTGTAGCGAATGTGTAAGTACCGAGCTGCCTGCGGAAAGTCCCGCAACCGTGCCAGTCCAGCATGATCGGCGGCTCTCGGTGGACAAGCAGCGTATGCAGTTCTCGCGAGGGGTGAACAACATGATAGCTGATAACGGCGATGATGATGACGATGCTGATGATGACGAGGACGACTAGGATGCTGATGGTGATGTGGTAGCGACGTCGTCGACGATGGTGATGAGGATGATGATGATGAGGATGATGCTGATGATGAGACTGGTGGTGGTGGTGATGATGGTGATAATGATGTTAGTTCGTTGATGCTGATCATTCGGGCCACAACTGTAGACCAAAGTACCTACAAACCCTAAGACCCGAAGCCCCTGATACCCTAAGACCATAACACCCGAAGGCCTCAAGACCCTAAGGTCCTAATGCCCTATGACCCCAGGGCCTAAGGCCGTAGGACTCTAACACCCTTGTCCTCTAACGCCTTGGTACCATAATGATGCAATGCCCCAGTACCTGACGGCCCGAACGCCGACCCCCAGACTCTAATACCCCTAAGACCAGAGAGCCCTAACACCCTAAGACCCTCAGACTCTGAGACCCAAAGACCCTAGTACCATATTACCCTGAGACACTGACGCCCTAAGACCCTAAGACACTAACACCGTACGGGCCTAGCACTGGACGGCCTCAAGGCCCGAAGATCCTAAGGCCCGAACACCCTGAGACCCGAAGGCCATAAGACCCTGCTACCCTAAAGCGACAAACACATAAGACCCCAATACCCTAAAACCATAGGACCTTGAGAACCTAACCCCCTAAGACCCTAAGGTCCTAAGACCCTAACGCCCTAAGACCCCACCACCCGGACAACCTACCACCCGAAGGCCGTCAGACCTCAACACCATAACACCCTAAACCCTTACCACCTTACCACCCAAATGCCCGAATACCCTCACACGCTGGTAACCATAGTAACCGAATTCTATGAGACCCGGACACCTTAGTCCCACAATGCGCTAATACCTTTCAACCCGAATACCCGAAAACCTTAAGACCTCAATACCATGAAGCATTCACACCCAAAAACCCTCAGACCCTAAGGCCCGGACGCCCTGGAGCCCCAAGACCCTAACACCTGAAGGCCCGAATGCGGTGACGCCCGAACACCATAATGCCCTCATACAACGATACCACCAATACCATAATACCATACTAATTTAACACCCTAGTACCATACCTCCGTAACACCTTGAAGCCCTAACATCCTAACACCCAGAGACTCTAATACCCGAATAACCTAAAACCCAAGAGCCCTGAGACCCTAACACCCTAAGACCCTCATGCGCTGAAGCTCTAACACCCTAACACCCAAACACCCGAAGGCCCCCATTCGCCGGCCCAACGGGCCAGGGCGTGCTAAGATCTCCGGTACCTGGTTAACAGTATTTCTAGTTCGCGCGCGCGGGGCGGCCCCTGGGGGTCCCCGGACGAAAAGTACTCCGGCAAGGTCCCGGCAAGTCCCCGGCAAGTCCCCGGCAAGGTCCCGGCAAGGTCGGGTCAGAGATGCCGGAGTTCTGTTTCGGAGTCCAAGAGGGCTCCAGATCGGTCCAAGAGGGCCCCGAGAAGCTTTCTAGACGGTCCAAGAGAGGCCCGAGACGGCCAAAGATCGCCCGAAGACGCCCCAGATGGCCCCAAGACAGCCCAAGAGGCCTCCAAGACGCTCCAAGGGCCTTCCAAGAGGCCTCCGAAGAGGGCCCCAAGTTGCCAAAATCGTTGATTTTCATTGTTTTTTTCTATGTTTTTTTGCGTTCTGGCCTTTTCGCTTCCGGACGCTCCAAGAGGGCCCAAGAGGCCTTCAAGACTGCTCCAAGACGGCCCACGAGGCTCCCAAGACGGCCCCGGAGCGGCCCAAGAGCGCCCCCCAGACGGCCCAAGTGCTGCCCAAGGCGGACCAAGAGGCCCCAAGACGGGCCCAAGAGGGGCTCAAGAAGGGAACCGAGAACTGAAAAATCGAGCCCTCCGCCCCAGAAGGCGCCCAGGACCCCGAAAGAGGCCCCAAGAGACTCTCCAAGACACCCCCAAGACGCCCCAATAAGCTCCCGTGAGGCCCCAAGAGGACCAACAACGTCAGGCCCCAGGCCCCAAGAGGACCAACAAATACCGCCAAGAGCCCGCCGAAAGCCCCCCAAGAGACCGTCACGAGAGCTCAGGAGGCCCCCTGGAGGCCTCCCGAGTTCTCCAAGAGGCCTAAAAAGAGGCGCCAAGAGGCCCCAAACGGCCCCACCGAGGCTCCAAGAGGCCACGAACGCGCAAGCAAACGCCTGCGATGGCACAATACGGGCCGGCGGAATGAGCGAAGCGATTAAATAACCTAAAACCCAAGAGCCCTGAGACCCTAACACCCTAAGACCCTCATGCGCTGAAGCTCTAACACCCAAACACCCGAAGGCCCCCATACCCTAACACCCTGATACCCTAAGCCCCTAACACCCTGATGCCGGAATACCCGAATACCCTACTACCCTCAAACATCAATACCTCAATACCATCATGTCATATCACCCTAATGCCACAGTGCACTGGTCCCATAAAAAACAAAAGGCCGTACGACCTTAATGCCCAAACACACCCTAAGACCCAAAGACCTTTCGACCCCAAGACCCTAAAACCGTAGAGCTCTACCCCCCCCCCAGACTCTAACACCGTAAGACCCCAATCCTCTCATACCCTGATACAGTAGATCCTAACACCTAAACGGCCTAATACCCGAACGCCCTGGTACCCTAAGACCCTGGGGCCCGAAGGCCTCACGAGCCTAGCACCCCAAGGCCCGAAGACACGGCTACCCTAAACCCCAAAGACCCTAAGATCCTAAGCCCATAATGCCCTTATACCCTAAGAGCCTAAGACCCTAAGGCAACAATATCCTAAGACCCATAGGCCCTCAGCCCCTGAAGCCCTAAGAGCCTATGGCCCTAAGATCTTACCACCCCAAGGCCCTAAACACCTTAAGGCCCTAAAACCTAAGACCGTCACACACTGAAGACCTTAACGCCATAGAATCAGAACGCCGTACGGGCCTCAGGCCCTAAGGCTTCAAGACCCCACGACCCTGGGGCCAGAAGGCTCTGAGACCCCAAGGCTCAAGGCTTTAAGGCTCATATATTCTAGAAACCGAAGACCCTGAGACACCGAGACCCTAAGACACGAAGACCCCAAGACCCGAATCGGCGAATAGCTTGACACCCTGACACCGGAATGCACCAATACATTAATACCATAAGACCAATAACGTTATCCTCCAACAATCTCAGACCCGAATGCCCGAAGACCAGAAAACCCCTAACACCTCATACCTGAATGCCTCAAACCCTATGACCCTAAGACACTAGCGCCCGAATGCCCTGATACCATGATAAGCTGATACCCTAATACTACTATGCCCTAATCCCCGGTAGCCAAATACCCGAAGACGCGAATACCCTGACCCTAGAATGTCCCATCATCTTAAGACCATGGTACCGAAAGGCCCCAAGACACGAACACCTATTACCTTACTGCCCTGAGGCCCGACTACCCGGACACCTTATACCTTAATACCCTAAAGCCCTCATACACTGATACACTAATGCCGTACTACCTTGATACCATAATACCCGAAGGCCCTAAGACCTGAATGCCCGACGACCCTAAGACCCTAAAGTACGAACATCTTAAAGCCCTGGCAGCTGCAAGCCCGAAAACTTAAAACCCTAAGACCATAGCCCCCCCAGGCCCTGACATTCCAAGGCCATAGATACCGGAAACCCTCATGCCATAATAACCTAATACCACAACACCCTGAAGCCTAAGGCCCTAAGGCCCTAAGACGCTAGGAAGGTATGTTCCTGAGATCCGAAGACCCTCATACCACAGGACCCTTAGACACCGAGACCCTTATTCCCTAATGCCCCAATACTCTAAGACACGAAAGCCGTAAGACTTTGAGACCGTAATACCTTAAAACGCAATGCCTGCATCTCATAATGCAACCGTACTCGAACACCCAAACACCCACACACCCGAAAACGCTAATACCTCAATGCCCTCAGACCCTCATACATTATATCCGAACGCCTGAACACCCTAATGCCCGAATGCCCTTGTACCTGAAGACCATGGGGGCCGAAGACCCTAAGGCCCTAAGAGTCTAGCGGCGCCCTAAGGTCTTAATGCCCTAAAACCCTATGGCCCACAAACCCTGAGCCCAAACAGCCGTAATGCCCTAAGAGCCTAAGACCCGAAGGCAACAATACCCTAATACCCAAAGACCCTAAGCCCCTGATGCCCTAAGAGCCTAAGACCCTCATATCTTAACGCCCCAAGGCCCTAATATCCGAAGGCCCTAGAGCCTAAGACCCGAACACACTGAAGACCTGAAGGCCATAATATCCGAACACCCTACGGCCCTAAGGTGGTAAGGCATTCGGACCCTAAGTCACTGGGGCCATAAGGCTCTAAGACCCCAAAGCTTTAAGGCTCTTTTACTCTAGAAACCGAAGACCCTGAGCCCCCGAGACCCTGAGCCACGAAGACCTTAAGGCCCGGATCGGCGAATACCTCGATGATCTGATATCGCTATGTATATATGCATCGACGATGCGACGCGATCCTATGACCCCATCTACTCGGGCCCCTTTTGAGCGACCAAAAAAATACGGGTCTGATGCGCGATGGCATGATGAGCGACCTTACGCGGTGGCATACGCGGGCCGCCAGCGCGGCACGCCACGCGGAACACAGAACGCCGAGGCGCGACCCCACGCCGAAGGCTGCCGCCCGAACGCCGACGCAGACGACCCCGTGCTTCAAGGCCGCCCACCTGGGAGGCCTGGCTACCGCTGCCCCAGGTGCCCCCCCCCCCCCTGGCCCGCCGGGCCGGCCGGGCGCGGGACCCCCGCGCGGCGGCCTGCGGGGCCGAGTCCCTGAAGCCCTCGGCGTCGCCTCGGCCGTCTGGGCCCGGGCACCGGGCCCGCGCCCCCTGCACCCTCCCCCCCGCGGACGCCCTCCTGTCGTCGCCACAAGGGGTCGACGCCTGAGGCGGCGGGCCGCCTGAGGCGGCGGGCCCCCCACGGGTTGACGCGCGCCGACGCGCGAAAAGCACTGCCAGACCGGCCATCCGTCTGGTCCTGGGTCGTCTTGGGGGTCCCTTGGGGCCGCCTGAAGGGCCTCCAGTGCGGGAAAGCCGTCCATGCAGCGCACCATGTCTGGCCTCCCTTCAGGCCCCGCTTCAACGCGGTGCGGTGCAGAGTTTCGGCCGGCAAAACTATGATCCTGCGGTCGAGGATCGCTGACGCCTCGGGAGCCGCCAACGTGGCTTGGTGCACACAAACCGTCCGCGGAAACACACTTCAGAGTTTGGAGCCGTTTCTGACATCTGGGGGACCTCGGAATCCCCAGCGACCTCACCGCGCGGTCTGTCACCGCACGGTTTTGGGACCCTGGAGGCCGTAGTCGCCCGAGACGTCCTCGGAGAACGACCCGAGCCGTGCGGTGACCCTTAATCCCACTGGCTCACCACGCGGCGTAGTCACCATACCATTTGTCCGCGGCGAGCGAGGGGGTGAAATGAGGAGAAAAAGGTCTTCTCAGAAGGCGGCGGGTCTTCTCAGAAGCCCTGGCCCCTGAAAAAAAATCCCAACCATCTTGTGTTGACTTGAGTCCTCGGTTAGAAGAGGCAGCGACCATCGTCCCTCCTCTACCTCCTCCTCTTCCTCCTCACCCTCATCCCTCCTCCTTCAATCCCTGCCTATGCCCTCCCATCACCATCACCGTCACATTCAACAGCATCATCACCACCACCATCACCATCATCATCAGCAGCATCATCAGCATCATCACCATCGTCAGCAGCGTCATCATCATCATCATCATCATCATCATCATCATCATCATCATCATCATCAGCATCAGCATCAGCATCAGCATCAGCATCAGCATCACCATCATCATCATCATCATCACCATCATCTTTAACATCAGCATCAGCATCGTCAGAAGCAGCAGCATCCACGTCATCCACATCACCACAATCATCATTATAAGCATCAGCATCATCATCATCACCAGCGGCAGAAGCATCGTCATCATCATCATCGTCATCATCATCGTCATCGTCATCATCGTCAGCATCGCCACCATCATAGTCATCACCATCATCATCATCATCATCATTCTCACCATCATCGCCATCGTCATCGTCACCGTCATCACCGCTACCATCATCAGCATCGCCATCATCCCATCAGCATCATCCGCAGCATCATCACCATTAGCATCATGACCAACAACATCAGCATCATCACCAGCATCATCATCAGCATCATACAATTCAACATCATCAGCAGCATCAGCATCATCATCAACATCATCGTAACCACAAACAGCATCATCCGCATCAGCACCAGTATCATAATCAGCATCATCACCATCATCCTCATCATCAACACCATCATCAGCATCAGCATCAGCATCATCATCCACACACTTCGTGGCCCCATAGGGGGCTCCACCTAAGTCCCCAGTGAGTGCGCCCGCATGCCGCCCCCCCTCATTGTTGCACACCCCTCACACGTTTCGTGGCCACATAGGGAGCTCCACCTGAGGAACCAGTGGCTGCGCTCGCATGCTGCCACTCCCACTGAGGCCCTAATGGCTGCGCCCGCATGCCGCGACCCCTCGCCTTGGCACACCCCTCACACGTATCGTGGCCCCACAAGGAGCTGCACCTAAGGACCCGGTAGGTGCGCCCGCATGCCTTCCCCCCCTCATTTTGGCACACCGCTCACACGCTTCATGGCCCCACAGGGAGCTACACCTACGGCCCCAGTGGTTGCGCCCGCATGCCGCCGCCCCCTCATTGCTGCACACCCCTCACACGTTTCGCAGCTCCACCTGTGGCCCCAGTGGCTGCGCCCGCGTGCCGCCCCCCCCCCCCCTTCTTTGGCACAGAGTGTGAGAGCTGGGGAAGAAGGGCGCAGGAGCGTGAACCCTCCCTCGAAGAAGATCCCAAACAAGACCATTCGGCCACCCCGAATCCAAATAGACTCATCACACGGCGTGGTCACCGCACCGTTTGGGGCACCCCAACAAGCACCCCCGCGTCTAGAACGAGAGACTGCATGACCACAAACTCTCGGAGCTCCGCTTGCGTCGGCGTTGGGCACCCCTCCCTGGCGCGCGGGGCGCGCCAGGGGCGGCACCGGAGGCGCCAACAGGGGGTCCCCAGCGACGAGCCAAGAAATCCGCGCGGAGCTCCAAAAATTTGCTTGTGCCGTTCTCTCTTTTCCGAAGCCAACACAAGGCCGCATAAGCATCAACTTTAGGAACGCCGCGCGGATTTCTTGGTTCGGCGTTGGACTCCCCTCCCTGGCGCGCGGGGCGCGCCAGTGGCGGCGCGGAGGCGCAGCCAAGTGGGCCCAGCGCCGATCCAAGAGCCCGCGCAAAATTCCGACGAGTTGTGTGCATGCAGTGGTTTTGTTCTTCGAACCCTCTCCTCCCCACCCCTTCTGCTCCGTCAGCATGTCCCATCTTCTGGCAGCCTCAGGGAAGCCTCGGGGGCCGGAAGGACTCGCAAAGCAGCTCGCCTGGCGCCACGTGCGGCGCTGGAGTCGGCAAGGAGCGGGGTCCAGCGCCGACGTGAGACACCCGCGCGGAGCTCCGAAGGTCTGCGCTCATGGAGTCTCTTGTTCCTCGTAACATGCGGGGGTCTAGTCGGGGTCCCCCAGACGGCGCGGTGACCACACCACACCGTGCGGTGAGTCACTGGGGATTCGGGGTGGCCGCACGGTGTTGTTTGGGTTCTTTCCCGAACACGTCGCGGCCGCCTGGGCCCCACGCCTCCTTCCTCCCTGGGGGGGGGGGGGGGGCAACGCCGATTGAAGAAACCTGCGAGAACTCCAAAAGGCAACTCGGCGTCGAGCGAAGGGGGGAAGTGAGAAGGAGAAAGCCTTCTCAGAAGGCGGCGGGACGCCTCAGAAACCCTCGCGCCTGAGAAGTTTCCTGTCTCTTCGGGGCAATCTGGAAAAACTGTTTCAAAAGGCTGGGGGACTTCCGAGCCTTTTGAAGAGGCGTTTTCCTTCAGCTCCTCCCCGTGCTCGCCACCGAACTATGCCTATGCAGGCTCTTGTCCTCCGAACACATTCCATTCTGGGGAGGACCGCAGGGCGGGGGGGGGGGAACATAGCGGCACATCCGCATCGGGCCCGAGCGGGAACGCGGCAGGACGGCAGCGCCTCCGAGGGCGAGGCGACCGTCGCCCAGGTGCCCACTCCACGCTCACGGTGCGCGGTTGCTGGGAGTGGGCCCTGATCCTACGAGACCTGGCAGCGCCGGCAAGGGGGTGGCGGGCGGCGTTCCAGGAAGGCGGGAGGGCTTCTCGCACGGCATGTGAGCGACGAAACGGGCGGTTCTCATGCAAGCCTTGCGTGAGACCCGCTCCTTGCGTCGCAGGCCATACCTTGCGTCGCAAGGTGGCATGGCGACCTCGTGCCGCGGTTCACGCGGGCAACCAGCGTGACACACCGCGTGCAGAAGAAGGAACTTGCGCGCGGTCTTACGCGGGCAGCTTACCCGCGACTGCCCGCGCAAGCCTCCGATTTGAGCTGACACTTAGGTTGCATGAAAAAGGCGAAACTCGCGAACGCGTTATGTGCAAATCTAGCTCAACAGACGCCGGAATAACGAAGCTGCGTGCGGGGCACGGGATGCGAGTGCGCGAGCAACCTTCAGACGTGATTCGCGCCAGGCATCTCGGACGCCTGTCTTGCGCGCCGACGGCGTCGGTCTGCCCGATTTGCACGGCGTCAACAGTGCCGAGATGATTGCAGCGCGGGCGATGCCAAGGCGGCCGCTCGCACAAGAAAAACAAAGCAACGGGGGAAAATGAGTGGGCGCTCCGGCCCAGCCCCAGCCCCTGGGCCATTTCTGACGCCAGACCCAGCGCCACTCCCACGCCGGCCAAGCGCCCCGACCTCGTCTTTGCCAAACCCTAGCTCGGCTTCAACCCTGGCCCCTGGCCCCGCTGGCCCGAAACATCTGCCCGCGGCGCCCGCTCGCTCCACGGCCCGCCCTGGGTCGACCCTACCCGGGCCCGGCTCGGCCCGGCACGCAGCAGGGTCCTGGCCCTGCAGGCCTGGCTCCGGCTCTGCCCTGGCCCGTCCCTGGCGAATAGGTTAATCAAAAGTGCACCCATGGCGCCCCCGGGGACTTTCTCGAGGCTATCTGACAGAGGCGAAGAATACGCTTGCAAAGTAGGAAAAAGGCGCGCGCGGCCGCGCCTATGTTCAATTCATTTTTACAGACTGAAGAAACAAAAACAAGCGCCTCGAGATAGGTGAGAAATGACTGCACACTGGGTGGGGAATGACTGCGCCCCTGGGCGTTGGCGCAAGAGAGGGACGAAATTGCGCGACGATCCCCGGCGGCCGGTCGCCGGCGCCCCGTCGCTGGCACCCGGCAGCCTGCGCCCAGCCGCCGGCGCCCGGCCGTGGCCGAGGGAGCTTGCCTCTCTGCAAGGGGGGCCCTCCTGGGGCCGCCCTGCCCCCTCTCGCCTCCCCTATGGACGAGCGCGTTCCACTACTCGCAAAGAAACTACTCGCAAATGGCCTGGATCCCCCGCGGGGGATCTACGATCACTTACAACAAAGAAGGCATGTGTTTTTCGGAGGTTTGCGAGTAGGCACTTTGCGAGTAACTAGTGGAACGCGCTCGGCGACCCACTCGCCTCCCCGCCCGACCCCTCGCCAGGGCGGAGACATGGCGGAGCTCGCAGTGGCGCGCCGTCGGCGCGACCGGCCGCCCTTGCGAGGGCAACGCGAGCGGGCTGGGGCCCGCAGAGAAGGAAGGGAGGCAGGAAGGGGGAAACCACAACTCACGGGAGGAAGGGAGGGGGAACGGAAAAAGAAGGAACGCAGGAAGGGGGGAGGAGAGAGACAGGGACGGAGATGGAACGGTGGGGGGGCTCGAGATGCTCGCCCAGCCCTGCGGGCCATAGACGGCAGAGCGCGCGCGACGCGCTGGCGCCGGGATGCTCGCTTCTTGGCAGCGTCTCCCTGCGCGAGCTCGTGCGCACAAGCATGGAATTGCCAGCCTATTCTATAATTACATACATAGATACCGATATGTCTGATGATGACGATGATGATGGTCCCCTAATGTTGTGATCCATTGTGCGCTACTTTGAAATGTTCCAAGATGGCAGCACCTGTCCACGTTTGGGGCATTACAACGCGCGGTCGAGCCCGTTTGTCTGCGCCGCTTCGGTGACTTCTTCGAAGCCGCCAGGCCCTTCTGAGAAGATGGCTTCTCAGCAGCCCCCCCACCTTTCCAGAAAGGCCGCTCCCGTCGAGGCACCCTCTTGTGGGCGCCGCGAACAAGTGTGTTGCTTCTGGGACGGGGCGCCGGCCCTCCAAGATAGGAGGCTGTCGGGGGGCTTATGATGGCAGCAAGGTTGCTTGCATGCGAGAGTGGATCGCACATGCTCGCATGAGGCCGCATGCAGCTGAGGGCGCGGCGAACAAGAATCTCTCTGATCTGCTCGACGGGATAGTCCTGGCAAACAGGCGCCCGGGCAAATGGATACGCCAGGCTGGGTAAAAACCACGGTGCAGAACGTAGACGGAGAGGCAGATGCCCGAAAACAAAAAACCCTTTAGCATCGACTGGTGAAACGTCCACGGCGGGGCCGTTTGTATGGTAATGCGTCTGGAGGGCGAAACCCAGAGACCAGGGGGGGGGGGCAGGAGAGGTAGAGAGCGCGGGACGACATGGGGGGAAGTTAAGCGGAAGAAGGCTCCTCAACGTCGAGACCTAGATCCGTCCTGGGTGGCGCTCTGACCAAAATCTCGAGGCGGACCCAGCCGTCACGATTCGGGCCGCCCAGAGGCTCCCCCTCTCCAACAGAGAAGCACGGACACGCGCAAGGATGCCTCCTGCCCGAGCAAACTGTACTCCCTCTCTCCTGAGGTGAAGAAGTGGGGGAGCAAGGGGCCGAAGAGCCACCCTCATGATGAGCACGCCCCGCAGGAAAGCGCACCCCGAGGCAGGAGTCTTGCGGGTCAGGACTGCCCAGCGGACGCCCAGGACCGTCCAGCGAGCTCCAATCATGGGGGTCGGGGCGCGTTTCTCCCCGCAGGGGGGCAATACCGCTGCTGCCAAGACCCCCCCCCGAGGTGCTTTCTGACCAGAATTTCGAGAAGAGCCCGGGCATGGACGAGGGTTTTTCAGGACGAGCAGCGGCGCCGGTGCCTTTGCCTCCGTGAGGTTGCGGTCAGGTGCTTTTGCGAAGCGATTCGCGGCGGGGCGGCGGGGGGCCCAGCGAGACGCTACTAATCCAGAAACCCTTATAATGAGGACGAGAGGTCGTTTCAAAGCAGTCCCCTGGGACTGCTTTGAACGCTACAAGGCAGTCTTCAAAGCAGTCCCATGGGACTGCTTTGAACGCTTACCTCGCAAGGCGACATGAGGGGCAGCAGCTGCAGGATGATGATGGTGATGGCGATCGATGAGGAAGATGGCGATGACGTCAATGATGATTTGCCAACTTGTCTCGACGAAGCGCTGTCCACAACTGCGGCCACAAACCTTCTGCTGCACTTGCCCGCAACTGCGGCCGCAAACCTTCTGCTGCACTTGCCCGCAACTGCGGCCATTACCAACGTGTCGCTTCGTAGGTCCAGGGGGCGCGGTCGTTCCACGGCCCCGCGTGGCCCGCGTTCTGCGTCTGGTCGGGCATGCCCGCCCACATGCGATTAGGAGGCGAACCCTCCGCGGCATTGTCCGCAACTGCGGCGCGATTATCACCCCACCACTTCTGCTCATCAGCGCGCCATCCTGCCCAGATCGACCACTCATCAGCGCGCCATCCCGCCCTCCACTCCCTCGCGGGATCCTCCGCCCTCCACGCGCCGCTTCCGCTGGCGCCAGAAGACCCAGCCGCAACTGCGGAATAAGAGGGGGTCGGAACACGACCTAGAGGCTCAAACCCCCAAGCCGGGCGGTGAGATACCAGCGGCGGCTCAGCACCCTTTCCCGCAACTGCGGTGTCTGAGTCGCCTCCGTTGTTGCTGCCCTTCTGGCCGCCCTTGCAAGCGCCTTTCTCTTGCTTCCGCTTCTTTTCCTTTTCATTCCTCTCAGCAAGCTTCTCTGGCGATCTGCGATCCGTGTTGCGGGTGAAAGCCACAAGGGGGAAGTGCGCTTCCCAGACGCCGCGTCGTTGGCGACTCGCTGCAGCCACCCAGCAAACGTCAACGGCCATTGCTCTTTATGCTCCTTGCACATCTGTTCGTCCCAGTTTGTTTTGAACTAACCCCACTCCCCCTCTGTTCATCCGAGAGGGCGCCCTTTCCGCGAGCCAAGCGGTCCAAAGCAGCCATCCTGTTTTGCTTGACCTTAAACTCCTCTGGGTTCCACTGGGCCAGGGCGTACTTGTTAGCCAGGGCCGCCTCCACCGCAACTGCGGCCTCCTTCTTCTCCCTCAGAACAACTTCGGCCTCCCGAATCTGTTTCTTGATGTCGTGGAGGGCCTTCGTCCTGTCGTTCGCTTCTGTTGCCGGGCGCCTCTGTTTCGCCGCAACTGCGGCATCGTGGTCTCGCTGGGCAGTCAACGCTCGTAGGAGGTCGTCGTCCTCCCGCGCCAGCTCTCGCAGCCGCTTCTTCTGCTTGTGTTGTTCTGCACGGCATTGTTGTGCCATTTTCTCCATGCCCACATTGCGCGCAGCATGCCTTCCACCTCGCGAAGCGTGTCTGCCAGAGACGTCGCCACTTCCACCTGCTCGGCCGTATGGGCGCCCACCACCACGCAGTCCATGGGTGCCTGCTTTTCCCGAGACCCATCATCCTCCCAGCCATGCTCCGCCATAGCCTCCTCCCAGTCGGCCCCCTCGCCCTCCTCATCGCCCTCCTCCTCCCCTCGGCCTCCTCGCCCTCCTCGTCGCTCTCCTCGTGGCCTGGCTCCAGGCCAAGCACTTCCTCTCCGAGCACGTTCAACACGGCATCTGAGGCTTTATGCGTCTCGTACTGGTGTATGAGCCGCTGCACGTCATTGTATGACCACTTGAGGCGCCCCTTCCGGCATTCCTCCCTGACCTCCGCGACTGCGGCATCCACTTTCGCTCGGAGGCCCCCTGCTTCCCAGAGCTGCGCCGCCTCTCGGCAAATCTCCAGATCGCCAGACTTGTCAAAAAGGTGCCCGTATGCCGACTTTCCGAAAACCCTGCGCAGCGTTCACGTACAACTGCAGATTGCTGAGCACAGAAACCATCAAGCCCGCGCACCCGGCACGCCGCAACTGCGGCACGTGTTTCCCTAACGCCATCTGCTGCACCAACGCTTTGGTTGCGAGGGCAATGTACAAGCATTTCACGTGCTGGTTCAAGTCCGTGTCCATAGGCTGCGCAACTGCGGTCGCCCCTTCCGCCATGAATAATCAACGCGTAGCCGTGCTGCCAGCTAGGTCCCCGCACAGCGTCTGCTTTGTGCGGGCCGTGGTCATCGGCCATGAGGGTTCTCCACTTCCCCCGCAACTGCGGGTCGTCGGGCCGTGCCCGCAAGTGCCGCCGCAGGAACGATATGACGTCGTCTGTGCGGTAGGACCCCTTCTCAGACGTCGCCGTGCTCACCCATTGCGGGAAGCCGCTACTGCGGGCATGAGCGGCCAAGTCCTCGGCGACGACAGCCCCCCCTTGAACATCAGCTCCGCGGGCGGAGGTCCGCAACTGCGGATGTCCTCCACGTCGCTGGACACCGTCAGGTTGGTGGCCCACCGACCCTTGCTGTCGTCGCGCGCCTCCACGGGCGGATCAAGGCCCCCCTTCGCAGCCAAGGTCGGCTCCGAGGCTGAGGAGGACTCGTTGCGGTGAAAAGGCGACTGGTCCCAGTTCAGGATGTGCGGGTCGCACCCCAAAAGCTCCTCCGCGGCTGCGCGGACCCGCGCTACGTTCAGGATCGTTGTCTCGAAGCGCGATTGGAGCAACCACTTGGGGATATTGTATTTGCGCGGCGTCCTCATGCTCAGTCCGTAAGAGCGCCGCCACTTGGTCCACCACCGCGCCCGCAACTGCGGCACTTTCGGCTTGATCCCCCGCTTCATGGCCTCCACGCAGTACTCCGCGACGAGTTGCTTCGCCTTGGTGAGCAGCAAGGATTGGGAGAACCTGGCGAGCATTTTGGGCTTCTCTTCCGCGACTGCGGTTCGCTTCGCCACCGCCTTCCAATCCACCGAATACCCCATGTGGGACCACCATTCGTATAGAGCGGCCTCCAACCATGGAGCCTTTGTCGGTGCGCCTTGCGCGCCGCGGCCGCGGCGCTGGCCAGTTGCGCCCACTGCGGTCCTTGCATCTTTTTGGCGCCCCCTGTAGAACCACTGCGCAACCGTCTTCCTCTGGCGGGCCAACCCCCAGCCCTTCGGCCACGCGAACCTCCCGCAAAACGACACAAGCGAACTACGTGGCAGAGGGCCAACGCCCAACCAACCGCAACTGCGGGCGTGCTTCTCCCACCCCTGGCACACCAACTGCCTATCTCGGAGCGTGCGCGGGCATATCTTGCGCTTCTCAGGCTCAGCTGCGGGCTTCGGGCGCGCGCGGGCCAGCGCGCGCGCCCTGATCTGTTCCCCCTGCAACGCCTCTGTCATGGACGCAGCCATGGCCAACAGCGTTCCGTCCTTCTTCACACCCGTCTGCCATATCAACGCTTCCATGAGGAGGGGGCTTGGCGCGCCTGGCCCCCCGAGCGCTTATGTTGGCTTGCCCTCGCCCTCGGCGCCGTCCAGGACGATGGGCCTGGGAGGGCCGCTGCCCCCGCAACTGCGGTGCGCGTTCGCAGCCTCGAGGTCGAGTTCCTGCGTCACCACGAGCACGTCGTGCAACCATGGCTCGTCCCAGCGGGCTACCCCGAACTCGTAGAGTTCTTCCCGCAGCCACCTGCGCGTCTCGGCATTGAGCGGCTTCTGCGACATCATCGCCATCGGGTCCACGCCGCAGCTTCCATCGCAAATGGCACCAACGATCCACTGGCCTAGAGGCCCGTAAAACTCATTCAACGGGCCCACCCCCTCCGTGCACGGCGCACCCACCGCAACTGCGGCCACCCAGTGGCGCACCTCGTGGAGAGGGTGCTCAGGAGTTACTGGCCACAGGTCCTGCGCCCCCCACGCCCAAGCCTCCGCGGTCTTGCGGGGCCCCCTGCGAAGTGCGCACGCCACGCCGTCGACGGCGCATGGCTCAGTGCACGTCGCCAAGGCCCAGGGCGCATAGAAATCAAGGGTGTCCTTGCGGTTTCCGCCTTCCCACATGTACGGTCGACGCTCGAACCGCAAGGCAAGCGGCACGAATGCCGCGTGTCCTATGTAGGAACCCTCCGACAGGATTTCCCTCATGAGCGCCATAACTCTGTCAGGCACCCTCGCCGCCACTGCGGCCTCCATCTCTGGGCCGTCTTCCAGGGGTACAATTGTCTCTGGTGCCAGGGGTGGCGCCGCGACCCTCGGGCGCAAGGCCGCGGCAGTGGGCGCCCCCACTGCGGCTGCTGCCCGTGGGTCTGGGCAGGGG